TTGTGCAACTGTTCTCACCTTCCTTTTATGAGTTGTTACTCACTCATTAACATAAACTCACTGCCCTCTGAGATTCCTGTCTAATCTTTTGAGTTGCAGTTGTCAGTATGGTCCCAGAGAGATGGTTCATAAAAGAGCACAATGCTCAAGGCAGACATTTATTACTAGAGAAGCCAAACTACTGTTCGGTTTTAAGAAGACTTCAGGGAATATTTTTTGTTTAAGGTTTAGAGATTATCTCAGGGAAATAGTTTTAGGGGTTCATCCACTCTCCATGGCTCCATGTATTTGAAATTCTATTCTGCATTTTCCTCCTTTTGATCAGGATTCAGCTATGAAATCTTTGATCAACATATTTAGTAATGATAGCCAGTCACCATCCAGTTCCTTTGGTCTCATAGCAAAGAAGGCAATCAGACACACATTCCATATCCTCCTCATATTCATGACTCTCCTTTTTCCTGTGTTGTTCCAACTGAATAAAGACCAATTGTTGTGCCTTGGTTGACTGCTTGCAAGCACTACACAATGAGGTAAGAGAACAGAAGCACTAAACACATTATTAGATCAATTAACTAGGATGACCCATGAAACTATGACCCTAAATTTCTGAACCAAGGGACTAAATCCCGTGAGGTGTTTGGTTGTACATAAGCAGCCTCAGCAGCAACTGTTTGTTTGTTTGTTCTAATATCTCACATAACTTTTGCCAATTCAGCTTTTTATGGTTGCACAACTCATTGGTAGCAATTACAATAACTTTTGAGAATTCTTTATCTGGTTTGGTAATCTCAAGTTATCTGATGTCATTGGTTCCCTGTCTGAAGCATTCCCTTTAATATTTCTGTAAGGTTGTTCTGGTTTTTACAAGTTCCCTTAATTTCTGTTTATCTGGGAATGTTCTATTTTTGCCTAAGGCAAAGATGATATTGTTGCATATATGAATCTTATTCTTGGCAATTATTTTCTTTCAAGTTTTCTATATGTGTCCTTCCACTGCCTTCTTGCCTGCAGGGTGTCCACTGAGAAATCAGCATTTAGTCTTATTGATGCCCCTTTGTAGATGAGATTTCATGAGCTGCTCTTTGTCTTTGAAAGTTTGTTGTTGTTTTGTAGTTCTGGTCTATGTGTGACTTTGGAAGCGTGATGTAGTAAATTACTTAGTGTGACTTTTCTACCCATAAGTCTTTTTAAACTCTGAGGTGGAATTTGCTATGAGCAACTGAGGAGCTGCTGATTGCTAAAGTTATCCACCTGGGGTATTTCTGTTGAGCTGTGGCACAAAGCAATGTTCTGGGAAGTTCGCTGTCTCTCAGGTGCTTAGAATTCTGATGTTATGATTGGCTAGTTTGGCCACTCTGCCAGGCTCAAAAGGAGGCCTCCTAGAGGCAAAAGTCTCTCTGACTGCTGGCTGAGAAGGATGCACTCCTGAGAGACAAATGCTCCTGAGAGACACGTGCTCCTGAGAGACCATGCTGCTGGGAAAGAAATGCAAGAGACACACATTGCTGAGAGAGAAAACAAGAGACATGCATTGATGGGAGAGAGACTGTGAGAGATTGTTGGCTGAGAGACGGCAGGCTGAGAGAGACTAAGTATTGTTCCTGAGCTTGAATTGTAGCCTGGTGCTTCCCTGTTAAACCCCATAATCTGTGAGTTCTGTGTGGCCACTGCAGCGAATTATCGAACCCAGCAGAAAGGTGGTGGGTGCTGCGGAAGTAACAGTTGGTGTCAGGGTTGATGAAAGGGCTGGAGGGAGGCAGCATGTCTGGCCGTGCAGGAATAGGCCTTGGGCTATTGATGGTGATTCTGTCTTCCTCTTGTGGGGTTAAAGGAGGTCAGGAGATGCACCCTCCTTGCCCCTTTGGCAGGTAGTGTCTGTTGGCTGGGCATGATTTCCTGTCACTAATGAATATGGTAGGAACTCTGGTAGCATAGTGCCTAAGGCATGTGACTGCTAACCAGAAGGTTGGCGGTTCAAACCCACCAGCCACTCCTCGGAAGGAAGGTTGGGCAATCTACTTCCATAGTGATACTGCCTTGGCAACCCAAGGAGGGGTTGCTATGAGTTGGGTCCCACTCAATGGCACACAACAACAACAACAATGAATATGGTGCGAGCTCTGGTGGTACAGTGTCTAAGGCATTTGACTGCTAACCAGAAGGCTGGCAGTTCAAACGCACCAGCCACTCCTTGGAGGGAAGATTGGGCAATCTACTTCCATAGATATACCACCTCGGAAATCCAATGAGGGGTCACTGTGAGTTGCATCTGACTCGACGACAGTGAGTTTGGTTTTGTGGGTCACACCCAAAATGGAGTCCTCTGTGGTTAGGCTCCTATGTCTTCTCTTACCAGGTTGAGAGTAGGTGTGGGAGCAGGTTATTTCTCTGATACTGGGTAACAAGTGTTGGATGGTCAGGGTCCCTCCACAGCCCTTCCAGGTTGATGCTTCCTGTCAGTGCGATCTCTGGAGATCAAGGCAGGACATCTGTGTATATGCTGAAAGGGAAGGCCTGCTGAGCATGCATGAATTGGCTTCTCAGTAGGTGGTGGGGTATCAAAGGGTTTCAGTGCAAGTGCAGATCACCTGCAGGAATTGTTTGAGTGTGGGATGATGTTTCAGCCTGGTGATGCTGGATGAGGGCACTAGGATATCCTGTTTATCATTTGGCAGAGGTGCAGGTGGCACATGTCAGAATGTGATTGGCATTACTGGTGAGAGGATGTCTGTCTAGCTGGTCACAGGACGTGAGTACAGGGAATATTCTTGCTAGTCATTGGGCTGGGCTCTGTGTGTGCACACCATCAGTTGCTAGGTGGTCAGGGTGAGGATATATGGGTCACTTGTCACCAGATGGTTGGCAAGGGAACTTGCACTGCTGGTTGATGGGCAGGCAAGATGGTAGAGGGGAGGAGGATCTTATGCCTCTGGCCAATACTCTGGCAGCAGGAGGGTACACCATGGATCACTGTGGAGATGGCTGAAGCGGGCATGAGCTTCCAGTTGCAAGGTCCCACAGTGCTAGAGCACATCATGGGGATGAGCAGTGGTGGACATGAGCCCCTGGTCACAGGTCCAACACTGCAGAAGAATGTGCTGCAGGGATGGGCAGGGGTGGGCATGAGCCCTTGGTAATAGGTCTTATGGTGTGGGAGTACATGCTGAGGAGTGCCAGGCTGGCATGGGGCTGAGGGTAGACTCACTGCTTCTTCTGGAGAACGTGGTGATGGGGGAGTGTGTTTCTCCAGTTTCTGGTGTGGGTGCCAGGGCACTCCCCACAGAGTGCAGACAGCAATCAGGACCCTGCCCCAATGAATGCGAGTGGCAGGGGGCTGTCCAAAGTCTTGTTGGGTGAGGGGTTGCTCACTGCTAATCCAAGGATCTTCCATTCTGCCAGTACTGTCTGCCCAATGATCAGGGACCACTATTATCAAGTAGTTCTGTCCCTATTTTCTGGCTCCCTCCCTGCTCTGTGGTCACCTGGATCCCTAGGGCCCTTGATCACCTTCCTGCACTTCATCTCATTAGATGCAGTCCATGTTCTGCTCACCCTGCTTTGCTTTGGATTTTTCTACACAGCACTTCTGTCTCTTATTGAAGATTTCATGAAGTTGCCTTCATATCAGAGAAATAACCTGCTCCCACACCTAGTGTCAATCTGGTAAGAGAAGACATAGGAGCCTAACCACAGAGGGCTCCATTATGGGTGTGACCCACCATATCCATTCCAAAATAAACCCTCCTGGACTTCTCACCAAGGAATGCTGCTCACTTTGTCTCAAGATGGCCACACTGCACCTGCAGTCCTATTTTCCTTCAGTTTCTCCTGCCCTTCAGTGCTTGACCTAATTCTTTATCCTTCTTTTGCTGTTCTGGATTCTCAGATTGTCATCTGTATCTGTTTAATTTGATTTCTCGGTTCTTTGCTGTAGAGGTATGGCATGGTATGTGAAACTAAGCCACCATCTTGGGCCATCTCCTTCCCTATCCATTTGTACAGCAGTTTTCATGGATTTCTGGTCAGATGTTATAGACAGAGGTAAAAAGGTCATCTAGGACTTCATTCTAGTTCTGTCAGAAGTAGGTCTGGAGGATAGCCATCTTCTCCTGGGTCTCCTCCATTTCGGTGCTGCAGCTGCCATGGGATCCCAGAGTTGCAACATCCTTGGCCTTGAACTTGTTTTTCCCCTGCAGTCTGTACTGTTCAATTTCAGCCCGAGTGGCTTCTTTGGCCTGCTTTAGCGTCTGGTCCTTTCACTTGCAGGCCTTGAACTCCTTGGTGGCATGATTTACTGCCTGCAGCTGTGACTCTGAGCTGTAGGAATTTATTTTCAAAGAAGGAGCCTGGACAGATTCAGAACTATTGATGTGGAAAGATACTTGTTAGAAAAGGAACAAAACAGTATGTATTCATATGAACTCAGTTTGGGTTAAAAACAAAACAAAAACAAAGAACTATAGATAGATAGATAATGGGTAGGCACCCCTCAGACTCACAAAAATTCTTGTTATTTTCTAATGTTCCTACCATGAACATATATTATTTGTGTAATACAGAAATAATAGTTGGACCTTTCCCCCAATGTTGTTGTTGTTGTTATTTGCCGTCGAGTCGGCCCCGACTCATAGCGACCCCTCCTTGGGTTTCCGAGGCAGTATCACTACGGAAGTAGGATTGCCCAACCTCCCTTCCGACCCCTTATTGTTATTTTGATCTAGTAAGTGAAATAAACTTGGCAACTATAAAAACACCAGGGGAGAAAAATATTTTTCTATTACTTAAAAATATTTTACCAACCAAGTAATGTCTGTCTTCAGGATCAATATCTTGGAAATCTTGATCTTGTATTATTCTCAAATCAATAGAAATTTTATTTGGCTTTCAGGAGCTGACAGTCATCTTGCACACCCTGTAATGTACACCAGTTCTGTGTGACAGCAAGGCCACAGGAACAGAGTCTATCTTTTGCACAGGTGCTCTGGTGACAGGCTTACCTGTCTGCATCAAAGGAGGAGATCCAAGAATTGTAGTCGAGGTTGTAGGCCAGGACACTGGTGTAGTGATTGAACCCAAAAAAGTCATAGGTGCCGTTGATCCTCCTCTTTTCACTCTCGGTAAACTCAGGGAGCCTGGGCGAAAGGAGCCATTAAGGGTGTGGGGCTTCAGGAAAAGAATGGAATGGAATGGGGTGGGTGAGGAGGGCTCGAACTACACATGTTTGGCCATGACTAGGGGGCCAGGATGTCTATTATAAAGGTGGGAACGGTTTTAAATCCTCACTCTGGGCTACAGAAAAGTTTTGGGGAAAGACTCTAAGGCTATGTTAGGAATTCTTATCTTCTGAATTCCTTTTAAGGAGCTCTGGTTGTATAGTAAGGAGGTCTGGTGTTGCAGTGGTTAAGGCATTTGGTTGCTAACCAAAAGGTCAGTGATTCTAATTCACCAGCTGCTCTGGGGAAGAAAGATGAGGCAGTCTGCTTCTGTAAAGATTTGTAGCCTTGAAAAACAAATGTGGGTCGCTATGAGTCAGAGTTGACTTGGTGGCAGTGAGGTTTTTTTTTTTTTTTCCGAGTTGAGAATTCCTTTTACTCCCCTACTTAGTTCTTTTGAGTTATTTTATTGCTGTGGGCACGTCACTGTGGGGCTATCACTTGTCCACTTCTACACCTCTAATCTCAGCTGGATGACCCAAGTCCAGAGTGCGGGCTCTGGAGTCAGACTGCCTGGTTTCAAATCTCCATCGCTTAATAACTGAGTAACCTGGCCCTAATTTTTTGTGTCTCAGTATACTCATCTTTTAAATAGGGATAGAACTATCAACAAAAGGTGAATAAACGCTAGCATTTTTTGTTGATGTTGCTGTTACTTTCCTAACGGGAAAAGGGCCAGGGCCAGGGAGTAGAGCTGCACTGGGCAAACCATTGCCACCTGCTGGCCAAATAACTAAAATCACACACCTGTTATATACCTTTGAGTCCGACCAGACTCATAGTGACCCCTCCTTGGGTTTCCGAGGCGGTAGTATCACTACAGAAGTAGATTGGCCAACCTTCCTTCCGGGGAGTGGCTGGTGGGTTTGAACCAATAGCCTTCTGGTTAGCAGTCAAATGCCTTAGGCACTACACTACCAGAGCTCCTCCTATTGCTACCCACACCCATAAGGGGGTGAAAGAGGACTAGGAGGAGCTAGGGAATTTGTCCTCAGAGTGAAGCAGCAGGAACCTGGGGCCTGTAGGCTGTCTCTCCTCTTCTGTGAGTAGCGTAGCTATGGGACACTTATTAGGGCAGCAGGGCAGCATTTACTGAGCACCAGAGCCAGTGCTCAATTCACTTTGTCCCCCTCGAGATGAATGTACTGAGAACATGGCTCTGCCCCGGTAAGACTGCAGTTCAGGAAACACAAACAGGTGAAGAGACCTGCAGGCCCTTCGGCTGCAACATACAAACAGGCAAGGAGGAAACGAGTTTAAGATTGAGGCCTGGGGAGAAAGGGGGGCTTCTCATGACTGTCCCCCAACCTTACCTACAGTTTATGGGAGGCTAAGAGGTGGGTGCCCTCGGGAAATATTTACTGGCTGTTCTGAAAAATAACAACCTAATAGCACCGGCTTTTGTCAAGCACTTAGCAGTGCCAGGCCCTGGGCTAAGAGCTTTACACAAGGAAGGAGGCTTATATGTAAAGTGACTTGCCCAAGACGTGGCTCTCTAACTCCAATGCCATGCTCTCCCTTCATCTCCACTGTCTACCCAGAAGTCTTAGTTTGGCACTACAGACTTTGTCCTGCTGCTTTCCTGGCTGAGGGTGGGTACAGGAACTTACCGGGACTTGTTGAGACCTGAGGCCAAGCTCCTATCTCGGATCCGTGTCTTCATCACCTCGTTGTAATCTCCATTCTTGAAGATAGGATGTGCAAACCAGCCTCCCATAAACTGCAGTAAGGTTGGGGGACAGTCAGGAGAAGCCCCACTTTCTCCCCAGGTCTCAATCTTAAACTTGTTTCCTCCATGCCTGTTTGTATGTTGCAGTCTAAAGACCTGCAGGTCTCTTCAACTGTTTGTGTTTCCTGAACTGCAGTCTTACCGGGGCAGAGCCATGTTCTCAGTACGTTCATCTCGAGGGGGACAAAGTGAATTGAGCACTGGCTCTGGTGCTCAGTAAATGCTGCCCTGCTGCCCTAATAAGTGTCCCATAGCTACGCTACTCACAGAAGAGGAGAGACATAGCCTATAGGCCCCTGGTTCCCGCTCACTACAGAACAGCTGCCAGAAAAGACTTTCTGAATTAATGACTTGCTTTTTCCTTTCAAAATGCCTTTGGTCAACTAGAACTTTCTGGGAAGGAGTGATTTGCAAGGTTTCTTGACTGCCCAGGCAAAGGATAATCCTTTGTGGGCTTTGGATTAATAAACTTTTCAACCAGTTTTCTTTCATGAGGTCTAAATCCTCTGAGTCCCTGGATGATACAAATAGTCAACCAGAAGGTTGTCGGAGGTTTGAGAGGCACCTCAGAAGAAAGGCCTGGTAAGCTACTTGTAAAACATCAGCCATGGAAAACCCTATGAAGCCCAGTTCTACTCTGACACGCATGGGTCACCATGGGTCAGAACAGACTGGACAGCAATTGGTTAGGTCATTCTTACCCACAGGCGGAATACATGACGCCCACAAGTTATGATGCTGTGGATTCAAGGAGCTTCTTCGGTCTCTCCAAATGCTCCCCTCACCTGCTATCTAATGACTAAAATGTGGGGTGGGAGGTCCCTTCCATTTCAAAGTCAGATATGAGGTTTAGACTACACATTCCCTATAAAAGAAGCTTAAATGCACTCTAACATAATAAATCAGATATTTTTGAGGAAGCAGACTGTAATAGGGATGTGTCTATCATAGACCTGGGCCGTAGTATCACAGTTCAACAGTAAGTGGCTCAACCTAATCTGTAGCCTAACATTTCCTGAGGTTTGGGGTTTTGATTTCAGTAAAACAAATTATTGTTCTGCTTCATGAGTTCAGTGAGCCTCAAATGAAGGATGCATTTATTTTGCCTCAAGCTTCCTTTTCTCTAGCTGGCTAGCAAACGGAAAATTTAGCTCTTGCTTGCATATACTAATTTGACCACCTTTGTCAAATTCCTTTTTGAAGAGGCTGGCAAATCAAGGCTCTGGTGTCTCCCGAGAAAGTCAGAGTGCCACAGTCAGCCGGGCTCTAACACAGAGCCCAAAGTGAACCATCTGGAGAAAGAGAGATCTTCGCCATTCTTTCCTGATGCTGAAATGTGGGAAAAGGTGCCTTCTAACCCTTTCAGAGACACTAGCAGGAGCCAAGGGAAAGCTGTGTCATGAATGAAGGCTATTCTCTTTTTTCTCCTCTTGTCAGGGACTCATTGATATAAGGGTGGGCCATCTTGGTTTCTGATAACTAGTAAAGAGTAGCATGGGGCAAAATTCCTAGACCAAAATATGCATAAGCTTATGCTAAATTCATGGAATTGGCAAATTAGGGGCACTAATGAGTTTCTCAAATTCTAAATGTTAGAAGCAAGAATGGAGAGGCTTCGTGTCACTTACTTTGGACATGTTATGAGGAGGGTATAGTCCTGAAGAAGGACATCATGCTTCATAAAGTAGAGGGTCAGTGAAAAAGAGGGAGACCTCAAAATGGTGCTGGCAAAACTGGAGATCCATTTGCAGAAAAATGAAACAAGATCTGTACCTCACACCACACACAAAAACAAACTCCAGATGGATCA